TAATCGAGCCTACATTAAGAACAAAACACGCGAGACATGCGTAAACGTGTTTGAGCACGCAGCAGCGACTGCCACTAAGTCTGCTGTAACATCTTATTGCGAACACATCTATGATAGAAGTTATGCCACAATTTAAAAAAATCATACACCTAAGTAAATATTTTTTATATAAAAATATAATTTTTATAAATTTTATAAAAATTTATCATTACTATCGTATATGATTGTCTGAGATATTTGATTTCTACTTAGATAGTAAGATAGTAGTTCTTACTTAATAAAGTCCAACAGATTTTTTTGTTTATGTGTTTCTGTTATCGTATATTATTAATGTTTTTAAAAAATGAATGGATGGGGATAATAGACTAATCACAACATGGAACTGTATGACTCATTTAGTGACGATTCTTATAATACTTACTCAAAGATTTTCTTCAGTGGTAAATGTTATAAGTTTAGTTCCATCATATCCAATCCCGAAAACTAGGCTTATTCGACGTGTTTTTGCACGAAATGAACAAATTTTGCAGAAGTATTGTTTGCTCTGCGAAGCGAATGTTTGTGTAATAAAATATATTTTAAAATAATAAAATATATTTAAAAAAAATAAAATATATTTTTATAAAAGTTTTATTAATATGTAGCCAAAGATGTAGCTTAAAATACATTAATTTTTATTTTAATAATCTTAGTCGAATTACTCCGGTCCCGGAGCTAGTTGAATCAGATGGAATACATTAGAAAAATGCATTTTTTTCATATTAGTTATCAGTTTCCCCTTATTATTAATATATTATTAGATAGTCAAATGTATGTAGTAACTGATGTAGAATTCATTTTTTCGATAAGTCTCTTAATTTTGTCTATAAAAATTCGAAATTGAAAAATGAATCTATTAGTCCCGGTTTCCCCTAAGTATAAAATAAAATATAGGTATAAGTATAAAATAAAAAATGTTTATAACTTGGAAAAGAAGTGTTTCCAAACCCATGTTTGTGATTTTTTCATCCCTACAATAAGTGGAATATGTTCTTAAAGTTTGGCCAACTGTTTCTGAAATACTCTGGATACATATATATAATATTTTACTTTTTCGCAAATATATATTTTACACTTTATGCAGGTACGCCTATTTTATACATATTCTTAACTAGTAAAATGGAAACTCCAATGTTAGCGTAGTCGAAGAGGATAATTATAAGAAGTTAAGATATCAAGAGCTAAGCGGTAGTGAGAATGTGGCGAAACGAATAAAAAAGATGAAGAAAAACAGTCTGACAATTATCAGCGATATGATGACAAAAGAATCAAGAAGAATCAAAATGTACATCAAATATTTTAATGGAGGAGAAACATAGAATAGGCATAGAATTGAGAGAGATGGAGAAGGATGAGAGTCAAGAAAGCGAGGAGGAAGAATCGGCTATAAGCAAGGCAGATTTGGAGGGATTTAGGTGAAGGGAATTAGATAATGCCCACTTGTAGACGAAACAAAGGTCATGATTAATGACTTGTACATATTATACGATTTATATACATGTATTTTAAATATTGATAATTAGATATCATGCAATAACATTCTGCGTTTGGCCTATATACTCCTTTAATGTTTATTATAAATATAAAATATTATAAATTTATATGTCCTGTAAAAACTGCAAGTTTTTAACTGTATTTAAATTTTTTTATATTTTCTTTGTATTTTACATATGAAGAAAATATTATATAAAAAAATTTTCTGTATTATTCTGAAATATAAAATTTTAGATGCAAAAATATAAAATGTTTCATAAACTTTTTTAAGATTTATTTTTAAGATTTATCATACCTTGTCTGTGTCGAATCAATCATGTACGATACTTGTGTGTATTTTACATCCAGTTATTATGAAATTAGTAATATAACCAATGATACTTACTGAAAAACAGGAGGAGTATTGTGCAAAGAATTATCATTCGCCATGATAGAAAAATTTAGCACTGTCGGACACACATTCATAGCACGACCAAGTATATCATTTCGTACGATTACTAATGTAACACCAGCGGGGCCAATATTTTTTTGTGCACCAGCAAAAATTACTGCAAACTAAGAAAACACATAATTATAATATATAGTTATATATATAATATAATATAATAGTATTATTACATTATATAACAATTACGTATTATAAATTAGCTACAGAAAACCCAGCATTATTAAAATGAAAATACGTGGTATAAACACGGAGATAAGTTTTACTAGCTAATCTAATAATAACTAATCAGAAGACACAATAGTGTATCGGCGCTAAATGGAAGCGTAGCTTTAATACCGTGTACCTTTACGCGAGCCAGCAAGTTGTAAGAGAAGATAATAAGATTTTAATATGGATTAAGGCTCCTGAATACTCAGCCAAGAACTCTGCGTTGATGGTGACAATCACAGAATTAGACGGCGATAGCCACATACACAAGCACGAGCCCATGTCCGTGTGCTTCGACGCATCAAGAGCGAACAAGACAGTGAGCCATCTTTCTCGTTCTACTCACTTGTTTCAAGCGATCGAAAATACTTTCTCGATAGTCTCGGTCACTCGGCGATATCAGTAAGGGGCAAGGGGCAATCTAATTAATATATAAGCTTTAATAAATTGTAGTAATAGTATATCTCTCCCATTAATCCAAAATAGTATAAATCATGCCAAAACGCAACAGTTTAGGAGAGATTTAATTTTTGAAATAATTCATGTTTTGAAATAATTCATAATAGGAGTTTTAAAGCAACGAATATAAAAAGAAACCCATTTCGCTTTTTAATTGAGAAATAAAAAATTACTTATATTTCATCATATATTATAATAATTTATAATATTATTATCATTAGTTCACATATGAATAATAAGATAGAAAAATCATAATTTATATTATAATATTATAATATTATAATGGGCTCGTGTTTATGTGTGTGTTATTAGTATTATATAGTATTCCGCCACGATAAATGGCTGAACTCATAGACATGAAAAAGTGAGGTTTTGATAACGAAACATGATTTGTGTTGCATGTCATTTCGTTATTATTTGCTTAATTGTGAATATCTCGTGACTTATCTCGTTTTTAAGACTTATGAAAGTTCCAAAAATGGATGGAAACTACAATTATTTTGGAATTTTATATGTAAAAGCGTATATTTCTCGTTTCAACAGCTTAAATCATGTATTTCTGCTCGAGTATATATTTCACTTTATGTGTCTTTTACGATTATTTGCTGACGATTTTATTTATTTACGATTATTTATTTATCAAAGGAGGAAAGGACAGTTTTCATCGATTTTTACAAATGTTTTAGCGATCTTGTTATTTAGATTTATCTAGAGACATTGGACTAGTCTCTAAGCCAAGCGCAGCAACACTGCCGTGGCTATTTTACGCGAGCCGGCGAATTATGAGAGATCGAGATTATCATATCTCAATAAGGGCAGAACTGATCACATTCTATATACGCTTAATCGATAGCATACATTCCGATTGTATAGTATGTGTTCTTATTTTTTCTCTACATGCCCTACGAGCGGAGATATTGCGACGAAAAATACGAATTTGAAATTTCTAATGTAAGAAACATCATCGTTATCATCGTCGTCGCTACGGAGTGGGGAAAATGTCCTTTTAAAAATTTTTGGCGCAAGAGGCAAATGTGGCGCTAGCCATGGTATAATAAGAAAGGTACATCAGATATGCGCAGTAGTCCTATGTCTTGACCAGTAAGAATTGGGTCCAAATGCTCAAAAGCAATGTGGCCGCTTCCTTGATTCGAAGATGTTTCAGGTTACTCGTACGTATATTAGATTAAGAAAATTTAATAAACAAATTATCGAAAACAATTATTTAAGAAAAAAAAACAACAAAATGTATAGAATGTGCAATAAGAAAATATCTAATAAAGTATGACAGTAGAAATTACATTACGGCTGCGATCAACAGAAACAATTGTTTTGCAAGTATTGTACAATTCTTGAATCTGATCAGTGCATGTTCTTATTGGCAAAAGCAAAGAGCATACAGTCACCGATTTGTACATAGATTCACGAAGTGTACAACAGTTGCAAAGCAGCAATCTTTGCTGAATGCAAGTAATTTTATGAGTATATTTCTTTCTCAATACAAATAAAATAAACATATATAACAAATTTAACATAAAGTAAAAACATTTTGCATATATATATATATATATATATTAGGTGTTGGAATTAATTCGTAGCGTTTTACAAGTGATGGGAAGTACTTTCATTAATGTATTTTTTAATGCTCATATGTGTTGAAATATAATATTGAATAATATATTGATCTGAATTGTATATTTCGATATTTATATGTCATGTTATTTTCAGAGACATGTATAAATTAATGCTATCTTGATACGGCGATCGATCAAGCGAAAAAACATCAGGCATTATACAAGAGGGAGTTCCAAAATGATCAGCCAGTCGATCACGTCGCTTAACTACGTTCTGGAGGAAGACAACAGTCGCAGCAAACTGCGTTGAAGGCGACTAGCGACGCTTACAACGATATCGGCAAGTTGTAAATCGAGGATCAGCCAAAATTCGATTGGGATCGTTATCTGACAAGTTCTATATTTATCGCAGTATTATTAATAATTTTTCGACATTAGTTTTAATACCTCAAAATGATATTATATGTATAACGTGAATTATTATGATATTTTGTAATTAAAATCCGCTCTTATATACTGAAGAAAATCACGTCACAAAGTTACATAAGGAATTCAAGTAATTAAAACATAAATTACGTAAAGGATTGTCCCAAATCAGTTTTTTTTAAATCACATATTTGAAAAGTCACACAATGATATGTTTTTTCTTCTATTTTTATCATTTAATAATTTAAAATTAATTATAAAATCATATGATAGATATATGTATATAATATTCTTGTCATCGCATTTAAACAAAATGTACAAATAACAAAGCTTACATGTATGAACACATACTAATTTTTATAACTGATTTATAATGATTATCAACTAAGAAAATAATCATTCCTTCTTTTGGAAAGGAGTTCTAATAAATGGCTATATTGAGTCAAAAATTAAATGTTAGTTTAATCACATTATTTTATCACATTCTCAAATTACTATAAACTACAGGGTGGGCCATCTATTGGTACGTTTTTGAATTTCGTCGTATGGCAACACCGAACGAGCTACAGACCCGAAATTTTGACAGTTTATTAGTCATACCGTCCGCGGCACGAAACAACATGTTTTCTCTTGAAGAGCGTTTTGAAATTTTAAAAACTTATTTTCAAAGTCAGTGCTGTGTCGCCGAAACTGTACGAATTTTGAAAAGAAATATGGGTCGTGATAGAGCACCCACCGAAGGAGCTATACGCAAATTGGTGAGGAAAGTTCATGAGAAAGGGATGTTAGTGGATGACATTATATTACGACTGTTTTGAGTGAAATTGGCGCCGAGGTAGTCCAAAATGTCATTAATAATTGGGGTGACCGAATGGCATACTGTAAGGCCAGTAGAGGGAGCCACATGAACGAAATCGTTTTTCATTCTTGACGCGGATACTTTTAGCTTCACAACAAAAAAAAAATTAATAAAAAATATCAATGTATGCTCATTTGATCGCATTTTTAAAAACGTACCAATAGATGGCCCACCCTGTACTATAAACAAAATTCGTACCGCTTCCTATCATCGATATGCCTCTTTAAATTAAATTTCATTAACAAAATATATATTTTTTTGGTATATCAGCAAGATTATATATATTCTATATATATAAACTTATAAGGCTATCAAGAATATAAATTCAAAAAATGTAAATTATAGGTTATTCGAGCAGCGCTGGATGTACGTTGCGAAATTTATGTAACAATAATTCATTAAATAAATCAATCATTTCTTAATTTCTTATTTAAATAAATAAATCATCAAACATTTCGATCTTTTTAACTTGGTTATCCTCAGTGGAGGATCCATGTTAAAAAGTTCGAAACGTTTCATGATATTTACTTTATAAATTATGAACACATGCTTTTATTGTTTTTTTCCTGCAAATATATATATATATATATATATTTATACATATTACAGAATATGTATACATATTTGCAGGTTTATACAATATATTAGGTGTACAAATAAGTTTCCGCCGTTTTTTATCAAAAATTAAGCATTTATTGTGAATGAACGATACATAATGTTTTATTGAAAGTATTGTCCATCGCTAGCCACTACTTTTTCCCATCTTTCTGATAGCATACGGATACCGCGTTGGAAGAACGCTTCATCTTTTGAGGCTATCCAATTATCGATCCAATTTTTTATATCTTCATATCATCATATCTTCAAATGATGTGAAGTGCTGCTCAGATAGGCCATGCGCCATCGATCGAAATAGATGGTAATCGGAAGGGG